TGAAATCCTCGAACCAATCAAACAAAATCCTTACAAAGCCAATACTTGACAATTATTCAAATCTGTCAAGGGAACTATATATATATATATATATATAGGTCATCTTAATGCCTAAATGGAGATTCTTTTTGCCATGGTGATTGACGTGTACACGTTGACTGTTAGTTTGAGAAATAGACACATATTTAAGTGTAAAAACTGCCTGGTTAAAGATGGTCGCCAAGATGCTAAGAATCTAGAGCTCTAAAGATTATTTATGACATGACTACTTGTGAGAGATATTCAAAGTTCTAAAAATGTTTATTATTCTTTATCTCACACATTTTCGTCCATCACTGTTTCCCTGAATGTATTTCTTCTCTCTACTTTTATGTATGATATTATGAAGTGTAGTAAAATGGAACTGTACTTTGTTCGGACACTAGACGGTGACTAATGTAATGCATCTCTAGTCCTTCTTTTGATGCAGATTAAATTCTATCATCAGTCCAGTTCGCAATTTCGCCACCACGCTAGATCGCTCACCACCACGATGCACTTGGAATTGTTGATATTAGCTGGTTGGAGACAATCAGCAGGAAGCGTAGCCTACTGACCTAGGTTTCGTGCTAGTTGGCTGACTGCCTGACTGGTTTGAACGTAGAACTTTGCACAGATGTGCAGCAGTTCGAGTCGCCACACTTCATTTAGCACAAAAAGCAACAGCCCTTAAGAACGAGGATTTTGAGCCATATCACCAATTGTCTCCAGTCTTCATTGGTGTTTACCATCCCGAGGACAGCAACCAGTACTCAAGAAATCTGCACCTCCTTATGTAGCTTAAAATAACTGTTGTGGATTTCATTGACAGATGAAGCCATATTTTGGTTTGACCACCACTAGCTCTCTTCAGTGATCCACAACGGAAAACTCAGTGAGGCGTTTGGAGTAAACACAGGAGTCAGACAAGGGTGCTTATCGTCATCAATGATAGTCCTAATAGTGGTAGACTGGACTATGCGTCAGACAGTGGGAAACGAGAAGACAGGGATATCCTGGACCGACGTGAAGAACCTAGAAGACCTGGATTTCGTGGATGATTTATGTTTGATGTCACACGAAATCGAAGACTTACAAGCGAAAACCGACAAACTGGTCGAAGAAGCAGCAAAGACAGCCCTCCAGGTGAACATAGACAAGACGGAGGTTATGAAAATAACCAACCAACAACAACAACAGCAGCAACATCCAGCGCCAATCACCATCAACGGGAGCGATTTGAAAGAGGTTACTTCATTCACTTATCTAGGCAACATTGTCTCAACTACAGGAGGAACGGACGACGATGTCAAATCGAGAATCGGGAAGGTGAGAAACACTTTCATCTACCTGAAACCAATCTGGAAATCTCCGTCACTCAGCACCAACAACAAAATTCGGATTTTCAATACAAACGGCAAGTCAGTCAGTTCTTCTATACGGATGAGAAACTTGGCGGGTCACAAAGAATATTTCCAACAGCCTGTTGCAGACCTTTATCAACAACTGTCTTCGCTCTATACTGAAGATCAGATGGCCGGAAAGAATCATCAACAAGAAACTATGGGAACAAACAAAACAAGAACCAATCTCTCAACAAATATGCAGGAGAAAGTGGAGATGGATTGGACACTCGCTGACATCGCGCGTCAGGCCGTAGCTCGAGTGGAACCCGAAAGGGAAGCGGAGAGTGGGACGTCCAAGGGTGACATGGAGATCGTGTGAAGAGATGAAACAGTATGGACTAACATGGATGCAGGTGAAAAGTACAACAGAAGACAGAAACAAGTGGAGACGTGCAGTTGAAGCCCTATGTTCCACTAGGAACCCAAGAGAACAATAATAATAATAGCTCTCTTCCAGTCTGATCAATCCTATGTCAGCTAACATTGTCCATCGAGCGAGGAAGGCGATGCCTAAGCATACGTAACACATGTTCTAACCATCTCAATCGGTGCTAGTTGGTAGTGGTCAGCAAGGCGTATCTGCAACCTTGAAAGAACTTACGTCCTTCCTTCTGAGATTTGAACCCGTATCACCCAGTGATGCAGTCAAAGACGTTACCAGTCAGCTATTTGAGGTCGCAACTAGCCTTTTGTAGGACCGTAATGGATATTCTGACTGGACATTAGACGTCGGTAACTAGTGTAAGGTGTCTAGTCCTCCGTTTAATGCGGACTGAATTCTATCAGCTTAGTTAGCAATGTGGCCACCATGCTAGGCGCCTCAGTGGTAACATGTATCACGAATCTCAGAAGAGACGTGAGTTCGTCCAAAATTCCAGACACGCCATGAAGCTAACCACGAGTGCCGACAACCACGAAACTTAGTTCCAAAGCTTCCTACCGATTAGATCCAACTGTCTAATAAACTGAACTGTTTCCCAAAACTCCAACAAAGTGTAAATTTTATAAAATACAAGTGTGACCGACTGAACTGTCTTTTCAATCTAGAACTTTCGCGCAAAAGCACAGTAGTTTATTCAACGATACTACATGTAACAAACAAGCGTAGAGGAAACATAGAAAAGAGGAATTCGAAAGAAACAATAACGGGCACCTATGTACGGGAGAATGAACAGTAACGTGAATATTTACTTGCCCTAGGAGATTATAAAAATCTGAATGTATCTGCACCACTGAGAACAATATCAAGCGATATTATCAATAACAGTCTCCAGCCACACTGATTTTTAACATCTCCACAACACCAGTCAGGCTATCTATACACCTCTTGATGTGGCTGGCTCAAATCCCAAGTGTCAAAGAGCCTTCATGGATTAATCAATGCCACGTTTTGATTTGACCACTAAGCCTATGTCAACTCACTCCTGCCCGACAAGGAAGGCGACGGTAAGACATGCGTCACAAACGCTTAACGCCATTATTACTCACTGTAAAATACCACCACTTAACACAAAGAACATTTCCAACAGCCTGTTGCAGACCTTTATCAACAACTGTCTTCACTCTATACTGAAGATCAGATGGCCGGAAAGAATCACCAACAAGAAACTATGGGAACAAACAAAACAAGAACCAATCGCTCAACAAATATGCAGGAGAAAGTGGAGATGGATTGGACACTCGCTGATGAGGCCGTTGGGTGATATCGCGCCTCAGGCCAACGCTGGAGTGGAACCCGAAAGGGAAGCGGAGAGTGGGACGTCCAAGGGTGACATGGAGGAGATCGTGTGAAGAAGAGTTGAGACAGTATGAACTAACATGGACGCAGGTGAAAAGTACAGCAGAAGACAGAAGCAAGTGGAGACGTGTAGTTGAAGCCCTGTGTTCCACTAGGAACCCAAGGGAACAATAAAAAAACACAAAAGAGATAGAGCGCCAGTGGCTCGACGTTTGAATACTCGCCAACCACCCCACCCATGGTCTCCGACCGGCCCACGCACCTAAAAAACCTCACCTAGCCAGTAGCGAACCCGGTGAAAGAGGAAACAATGGGCATGAAGCCAGCAACTCCACTTCGTAAAAGGAAAATACCAAACGACCAACGATAACGAAACTCCAAGCCTAATACTTGAAACCGTATTACTTTTTGATAGGACCCAAAATAAAATAGTACATCATCCTTTCTCACGAATCGTGTGATTCATCATGCGATGGAGTTACTATGTAGATCCATCGTTTTTCATGCGTATTGTGATTTAGTGTGTGTGATCAATTCATCGTCTTTTGTCTCACCTTTGTCTTAATCGAATCACCAACCAATTAGAATAGACATTTCCAACCAATAAGAACAACCCATTCTCAAGGTTGTGAGCCAACTATATTGTGATAAATTTAAATATATAAATATGATGTTTTGTTTCCTCATATAGATGTACAAAGCAATAGCTTACAGTCACAGGCCAGCCAGCCTTTGTCTTTTGATGATATTTGCGTGACTCAGTGAATCGGAAGATATAACGGACGTACAATAGACACGTATTAGCGTACCAGTCGAGTTTATTAACGTTATAGTAATTAATAGGCGCAGACATAACAAAGTAGCTAGGGGATCCTATCCAATTCAGTTCAGTTATAACAAATTGGACTGGATCTGGACTTCGCCGATGATATATGTCTGGTTTCCCACAAACTGGAAGATATGCAAGCGAAAAGCAACAAGTTGGTTATAGAAGAAGCATCAAAGATAGGAAGGAGTTCATGTGAACTTAGAGAAGACAGAGGTGATGAAGATTCCCGGGCAACACCACCAACAGCAACAACAACAACAATCAGCATAAATGGAAGGAACCTCAAAGAAACAACCTTCTTCACCTACCTATCTACCTGGGAAACATCGTTTCAACTACAGGCCGACAGAACTGACGAGGATATCAAAGCAAGAATCGGAAAAGCAAGACAAGCTTTCATTACTCTCAAGTCTGTGTGGAGGTCAACAGCACTCAGCATAAAGAATAACATCCGGATTTTCAACTCCAATGTGAAGTCAGTGCTACTGTATGGATCAGAAACTTGCACTGCGCGTCATAAAGAGCACCTCAAACAAACTACAGACCTTCATTAACAGCTGTCTTCGCTCAATACTCAAGATCAGATGGCCAGAAAAGATCAGCAATGGGGACCTGTGGGAGCGAACCAACCAGGACCCGATTGTGAAACAAATTACCAGGAAGAAATGGAGATGGATTGGCCATACTCTGAGGAAACCATCAAGTGACATCACTAGACAAGCCATTGCTCGAGTGGAACCCGAAAGGGAAGCGGCGAGTTGGTCGTCAGTGCAAGGGTGACTTGGAGGAGGTCATGTGAATAGGAGATGAAAACGTATGGGCAGACTTGGAGCCAGGTGAAGACTCTAGCAGAGAAACCGAACGCAATGGAGACGCACGGCTGAAGCCCTATGTTCCTCTAGGAATTAAAGGAAACAATAATAATAATAACAAATTGGCGACGGATCAGTTCCGTTCAGTCATAACACACCTTCCACCCTCGGAATGCAAAGGAATACAAGAAAGAGCAGCACGAAGGATACACATATTATTTGCGAATCTATATGCATAGAATATGAATATGCTAGGTCGTTTATTACTGTACAAGAATGAATAATCTTTCTCACCAATGAAATATTAAAAAAAAATCGGAGGTGCAAAGAAAGGTACCAGTGAAAAAAAAACAATGATGACTGCCGCAGTGTTTACAATAAGTAAATAAACTGATATTTAGAAGAAAAAAAGTGTACAGAATAATGAGGAAAAGACGAGAAGAGGGCGGAGTGGGTGTTGTGGGCTGGGGTGGAGTGGACTGGAGGTGCGCTTCTTTCTTTACATCGCTTCGTATTTGGAAAACATTTTACGAAATTGTTTCGCTAAATCAGCTTCCACTTCTTCCTCTTCTGTACAGTCATGCCAATCTGCTTTCTCTGGACAATTCAGAATATTCGGATTAGTTAGAACGATACTTGAAGAGATGGAGAGAGAGAGAAAGAGAAGAACGAATAATCATAAATAAAGGATGAAAAATAAATCAATACAGAGCAAATAAATATGATCTGAGACCAGTTATAATTCATGTATTCCATCCTAAAGACTGAATGGCCAACGCGATTGCATTGTGACTTGACGGCTCTGGGTTCGATCCCGGTATGGCCAAGGGATGGGGGAGGGGGTAAACTTCGATCTTCTCGAAAAACTCTCATGTTGTGGTGAGAGCTGCCTGCCAGCCAAATTGGTAGACAGTAATTTACGTCAATGTTTATGTCCCCAATATTGGTTATGAGAAAAATAAGAACAAAGACTGATTCAACAACCAACCACACCAGACTTCGCGTAGGCGGACACAATTTTCAGATAGATAATCTGAACTTCAAGAAACGGCCACAAAGGGATGGTTCAGCGAGAAACCACCAATCAGAAGACTGTGTTTGTTTGCGTACAATACAATAATCTATAATAATTTCAATAAAAATCTATAAAAATCTGTTGATTTCGTAAAAAAACGATCTGTTGCCTGACTCTCGTCTTCTGTTGTTACAATGTGACCACACGTTCATAGCCCATCTCTCTGTCAGTCAGGTAAGTCCTATCCATTGCCTCACAAAAATGAAAGACAGAATGAGAACTTCTGGTACCTACAACCGGATTGGTTGACATACTGTCGTCTATAGAAGCTTAAAAACCCTGATTCCAAACCTATTACGTGTATGTGGGCTCCACAATCCGGAAGGTTTCAGTAGCGTATGAACCTAGCTGACTCTAAACAATAGTAGCCCAAAACGAAACTACCTCTAGCAACCAATCACATTCGTAAGAAGTAGAAGTGCGCAATTTGAAACAAAAGTCTATATACAAGTAATGCAATGTTAAGAAATGGTTACATAGGATAACATTCTTGTATATGGTCCAAGAAAAACCACCTAGTTTCTCACAGAAGTCCTTATAGTCAGGTTAAACCAATTTTAGTAAATATACTTGTCAAGGTCATCAATTCGTTCGTTAGGTAGTTTCGTTTTGGGCTGCTATATTTTAGAGTCACTTGAACCTATTTTACTCACCGGAAACAATGGGAAGGTAGCTCCTGACGATATTCCACTGCTTTGTGTATCAGACCTCAAGCCAAAGGTGTTCCGGGGAGGTATTCCAATGACAACGATTTATGAGGAACTATAATTGTACGCTCACTGTTACAAGCCTTAGCCATATTTCTAGCAATGGCTAGCGCATCTCTTTGTGTCAATATTGTACCACGTTTTTGTTTTAATTAAATAGAATTTGATCCCTAGTGGGGTTATGGTTGAGCACTACTACTATTACTGCTGAGGGGACCGAGAACTAGGACGAAACAGCTGTTCCAGTACACCCTGCTGGTAGTCAAAGGGCTCTCCTCCAACTAATGTCATTTGATAATCTAATTTGGAAGGTTTTCTTGTATTTCCCAATGAATGAAAAACAAAACGATATCATTGTTTTTACTGACGTTTCGCTATTTTAGTATTATCGATATTCAGGAAGAAAACACACACTCCAACAAATATTTAAACTTCAGATCATCACACTCCATCAATCAGCGTAAAGGTATCAGTTGTTTCAAGTCTTCTTTGACGAGCACATTCTCTGATTGATAACGGATGAGAAAGAAAAATAAGAAGAAATATCAAACATAACTGAGACTCCCAAGTAAAACAACTACTCAAAGAACTTCATCAACAAAATCAACACTGACATTAAATATGATCGAAAACGTATTCCGAAAACATGGACCTCAACAGTTGTCATTCCATATAGAGCAGAGACGTCAGACGATTGATATCAGAAGAGTACTCAATAAGCTCGATATCCGAGTTTTCTTCGAAACATCAGACACACTGCACAGTAACTTTGCCCATATAAAAGACTAAATATCCCTAAAGATTCTTTATCTAATTGTGTCTATAAAATAAAATGCTTGGAATGTGATGCGATATACATCGGACAAACATCGCTAGAGAGAAATTGAAATCAGAAGAAATGAACACCGTAGAGCCGCATCTGTTCGACCACCGAAAAATGCAGTTGAACTAGAAAAGCTTGAAAAAATCATCAGTCAGCCATAGTTTATCTACACGCTATATAGAATCAGGCCACAAAATTAACTTTTACAATATTGAAATCATCATCCATAAAACGCAGTTCAGAAATCACAAAGAACGTCTAGCATCATCAGAAGCACCTCATATCATCAAATGGAATCCAAATTGTCTGAATAGTGTCTGAATGATGGACTAAAACAGAATTTGACCTGGTTAAAATAACCCCGTTCCACCCCATGACATGACAAATTCAACACGAATGTAATAAGCAATTTCATTATGTAAACATACGCTGCCTTTTATAATTTTACACACTTATCAAAATCCAACAATCTACACCTGGCTTTGTTATCTTTACCAACTGGTCAATATGACAACGGAAAAATGACCCCTTGCTGAGGAGCGATGATTAAATTGTTATATATAAAGGCTGAGATTTTGTAAATTCAATTTTAATAATACTTTGATAAAGCTATTAGCAGCATCAATGAATAGCGAAACGTCAGTAAACACAACAACATCGTTTTGTTTTTCATTCACTATTGCCCAACAGATATGCAGAGAGTAATAAAGAAGGACTAGAAATACTCTGAGGAGACCAGGCAAGCTCTCAAGTTGAACCCGAACGGTAAACCCGCCACCAGCTGGGAGTTCATCTCCAGGGGGTAACACATTGAGCAGGAGGAGGGGATGAAAGCTTATGGGGAAATCGTGGAGTCAAGTGAAACAAACTGAAGACGTGCTAATGAGGCCCTATTTTCCACTCGGGATCAATAATAATAATAGATGGTATTTATTTATTACACTCCAAACTGTCCAATGATTAGTATGGATGACAAACTGAAGAATCGGTTCCCCCGGTATAGTTATATTTCAAGTACCAGGTTATATGGCACACTTATTGTCTGAGGGCTAGTAGTGGTACTACCACCACCCAATTCGTTTCCTAGGTTGAAGTAGATGCGTAACAACAGAAGCACAAGGGCCAGGCAACAGGTCCTTTTTTAGGAAATCAACACATATTTATAGATTTTCATGTACATTATTATTATAGATTATTTTAAGGAAACAAACACAGTCTTCTGATTGGTGGTTTCTCGCTGAACGTTAATCTTTCATCTGTTTGTAGCCGTTTCTTGAAGTTCAGATTATCTATCTGCAAATTGTATCCACCTATGCAAAGTCTGCTGTGATTGGTTGTTGAGTCAGTCTTTGTTCTTATTTTTCTCATGACCAATATTGGGGACGTACACACTGACGTAAATTATTATTGTTTCTTTTAATTCCTAGAGGAACATAGGGCTTCAGCCGTGAGTCTCCATTGAGTTCGGTTCTCTGCTAGAGTTTTCACCTGACTCCAAGTCTGCCCACATGCTTTCATCTCCTCTTCACATGACCTCCTCTAGCCATCTGATCTTGAGTATTGAGCGAAGACAACTGATGATGAAGGTCTGTAGTTTGTATGAGGTGCTCTTTATGACGCGCCAAGTCTCTGATCCGTACAGCAAGTAGCACTGACTTCACATTGGAGTTGAAAATCCGGATGTTATCTTCGTTTTGATGCTGAGTGCTGTTGATCTCCACGTAGACTTGAGAGTAGTGAAAGCTTGTCTTGCTTTTCCGATTCTTGCTTTGATATCCTCGTCAGTTCCGTCCGCCTGTTGTTGAAACGATGCTTCTCAGGTAGGTAAAAGAGGTTGTTTCTTTCAGGTTCCTTCCACTTATGCTGATTGTTGTCTGTTGTAGTTGTCGCTGTTGTTGTTGTCCAGGAATCTCCGTCACCTCTATCTTCTCTATGCTCACCTGAAGTCCTATCTTTGATGCTTCTTCTGTCAACTTGTTGCTTTTCACTTGCACATCTTCCAGTTAGTGGGAAATCAGATATATATTATCGGCGAAGTCCAGATCCTCCAAGTTTTTTGTGTGGGTCCATTTTATACCTGTTTCCTCGCTGCCCGCTGTCTGACGTAAATTACTATCTGCCGATTTTGGCTAGCAGCCAGCCCTCACCACAGATAGAGCAGGGTTGAAAGTTGAATCCCACGTAAACCAATGAGCAGCTTTATCTTCCACAAGTTACTGTTAAATATTTTCTACAAACCAAAAGACTATCGAACTTGCAGGAGTCCCGGAGTTCGATTTCCTACCAACACACTCTTAAACCTCGCCTAGTTTATTGATCGACAGTAGACCCAGTAAAGGTGTGTGTGGGGTGGGTTGGCTATGAGGTTAACACCCCCACCCCATAAAAAAGAGAACACCACCGCTAGTGAAACTTCACACAGCCTAAAGCCATATCTATGGTATCCTCCACTCGGAACGCAAAGAATGAGGGAAAAAGACTACCACACGGTGTAGCTGATCCAAATCACCAAAAATGCTAAAGTGTGAAGTAAGTGTCAGTTGCGATTTACACACATTGAACTGATAAACCCCTGAAGTATCCGATATCGTTGTTAAAAAATTAAAACATAAAATACACTTACAACCAACAACAACAACAAAAAAAAGGACAATATAAGAAATATGAGGATGATATGCTAAATGCATGCACTACACCTGGATAACATCTTTGCATCAGTGGTTTCACTGGTAGAATGCTAATGGGCGGAATTCAATTCACCACCGACGAACCCACTCCTACAAACCTCACTTATGCATTCATTCCCCTTGATGAATTTAAATAAAGCAAGAACAACAGTGGTGTAAACAGAATAATATGGTACCATCATTTATTTCGTTGGCTTCTCATCAGTTGCTTACAGCCTAAATAAATTGTGAGGTTTACGTACAGAAAAGTTTTAACATACTTGCAAATTTTACATGTTGTCAGTTGACAGAAGGTTCCACAATTAGTGAAAAGTGCTCAGAAAATTGTGCTTATATAATTTTTACATAGGCAGTTCAAGTCAAATTAAATGTATGCATACAATGGTAAAGGAGTTACGTAATAAAGATGAGAGGTGAGCAAGATGATGAGTAACCAATAAATTTGGTAACGATATACTGAGTTCAAATCACGTCATAGAAACAAGAGACAAGCAATATTACAGATTTCCTGTACGTAAACCTCACAATTTATTTAGGCTGTAAGCAGCTGATGAGAAGCCCACGAAATAAATGATGGTACCAGATAGTTGGAGGCAATCGGCAGGAAGCCTTGGACCTAGGTTTCGTGCTAGTTGGCACTCATCAGCAAGGCGTATCTGCAACCTTGAAATAACCAATGTCCCTTCTGAGATTCGAACCCGCGTCACCCAGTGCTGCATTCAAAGACGTCACACCCACTGATGTACCTATTCGGGCTCGCGACTGACCTCTTGTAGGGCTGTAGTTCATACTGGATACTGCAGCACTGGGTGACGCGAGTTCGAATCTCAGAAGGGACATCAGTTCCTTCAAGGTTGCAGATACGCCTTGCTGATGAGTGTCAACTAGCACGAAACCTAGGTCCAAGGCTTCCTGCCGATTGCCTCCAACCATCTAGTACCAACAATTCACAGTGCACCGTAATGGCGAGCCACCTAGCATGGTGGCCACATTGCAAACATGACTGATAGAATTCAGTCTTCACCGAAGATAGGACTAGACACATTACACTATTTACTGACTAGTGTTCAATCAAAAATGATGGTACCACATTATTCTGCACAAACCACTGTTGTTCTTGCTTTATTTAAACCTCGCTTAGCCAGTTAGTAAGCCCGGAATAAAGAAGATTGGATATGAGGCTAGCAGCCTCACTCTGTAAAAAGAACACCAACCAACACTACAGAAATGTTCAAACCCTCCTCTTATGTTCCACCCTCAGAATGTAAAGGAATGAAAACAAACAAACACACAAGCAAAACAAAACAAAATAATAGAAAGAATAAGGAGAAACATACCGACCAAATTGTAGATTTGTACTAGATATACGATCTTTTGGTATCCGACCGAACAGCTTCTCTCCAGTAGGTAATTCAACAAAAAAGTAAGGAATGCCTACTCGACAAATCTATGAGAATATTTATCGAAAAAAAACAAAAGAAAGAAACGAGAAAAACAAGTTAAGCACACATGCTATATTAAAAATGGAAAAATAAATGGGGAAACTAAACACCCCAAATTCACCAACCACAGTAGAGAGGGGTCAGAAAACAAACAGATTTTTCAACGCTTTGTTTCAGTAGGTGGCTCTGTAACTCCAATATGGATAAAAACTTCATTTTGATTAAGTCTCACAGTGTGTTGTTATACAGTAAGTAATATTTACTGATGCCACCAGGTTTCGAGCACAATTTATCATTGCCACTCATAATCATAACAAGGCACTCACTCACACTACTCAACTTTATCGTTTCATTGATATACATGAGTAAAAATTGATGTGATTAGACATTTGAATAAAGTCAGTAATGTAAGATAAAGTACATTCGGAAATAATGATATTAGTGTTATCACTAAAATGCATTAAGATGCGAAATAAGATGTTTTATAGTAAAATAAATAAATAACTTGTTAGAATGTTATAATGTATGTGAACTGAATACACTTTAAGATTATTTATTATCCTGTGATCTGACTGGTGGTCATAATATCTTCCAGACATATCTGTGGTATTTGCATTGAGTCACTTCTATTGCATGTGTTGTGTTGGGTGTGTAGACTCGATGAACCAGGCAGGATTCAGTAATCAACCACCTCTCTCTCCATCTACCTATATTACGTTTTAGAATTTTAACCCTCTCCCACCCTATTATATGACTGTGTGTTAATGCAGGCAGTGCAATGTAGTGCTGAGCTTTTTTCTAAATTACTTATCTTCGCGGGTGGGGTCAGTCAACCTAACTTCAACTAAATTGTTGATAATCTCACTACTCTTGATCTACTGGTTTGACCTATGTAGTTGACCTCACTGTTAGATTTTATCAAAATAAAACAAAATTTTATCCATAATGGAGTTATACTCTACCACAGTGTCCAACTTTTATCCTTATATCAATAGTTCGCTCTGTACTTCTTTATGGCTGTGATATATAGCCATTCTAAAGTGAAAGATATGAAAAGACTAGTTGTCTTTTGTGTTCTGTCTCACATGTCTAGTGGTATAATATGGTGAGTAATATTCGCGTTAGGCGAGGTGTTAGGTAAGAAAGGGAAATTCAGAAGATGACATTGTGAAGCTACATAGATTAACATGGTGATGATACGTGTTACTTGACGATGCCTACTCACAGATTTTCTCAACCAACAACATCAGTTGATACGGTGATTAGGTCAGAAAAGAGTCAGCGGGTGCGGGTTAAATCAAAACTTGACATCAATTCATTAAGTCTTAGACACTCAGCTTGAGCCAGTCACTTAGAAAGATGTAAAGATTGAGTTGGTTGGGGATATCGGGATGCTAAAAACCAACAGCTAGAGAATGTTGGTGATGTGTGGTTCGAAATCATTGCCAATGGCGGGGATATATTCACTCTTTGTAATTTATCATATCGATTAAACCCTCATATTTCCCCCCATGTTACCTATTCTCTCTCCTGAATATCTCTTTTCATTACTGTTCTCTGGCATAGACGTGATATTCAACTATCGACAAAAGGGCGTGTGTACTTCTCATCAGTCCGCTCCGTTATCCTTTATGGCTGTGAGACCTGGCCATTGAGAACGGAAGACATGAAAAGATTAGATGTCTTGGATCATAGGTGTCTGCGTTCTATCTCCCGTGTGAAGTGGTATAATAAGGTGAGCAATATTCAGGTTAGGCGTCGGTCGAGTGCTAGGTAAGGCGGGGAAATCAATCGACGAAACTGTGAAATTACTTCGACTGAGATGGTTAGGACATGTGTTACGTATGCCTAGTCATCGCCTTCCTCGACAAAAGGCAATTTTAGCTGATATAGGGTCAGGCTGGAAAAGAGCTAGCGGCGGTCAAACCAAAACATGGCACCAGTCAATGAAATCCACAACAGTTAGTCTAAGCCACGTAGGAAGGTGTAGACTTCCTGGTTGGGGTCCTCGGGACGGTAAAAACCAATGAAAGCTGGAGACAATCGGTGACATGGCTCAAAATCGTTCTCAATGGCAGGCGCAGATACATCCACTCCTTGTGACATGATTTCCAATTAAACTGTTTCGTTCTTCGTTATTACTATTCCTTTGTCTCACCTCTGTTTACTGTCTCTATTATGCATTTCTTCTACTTTCTTCTCTTCCTTTGTGTGCTACATGGAGTGTGGTGACTTGTACTGCCACACATATGTGCAAAGTTCTATGTCGAAAACAGAGAGAGACAGACTCTTTTCCCTACCTTTGTGTACTATATGGAGGGTGGGACTGACTGACTGACTGGTTTCAATACAGAACTTTGCACCGACGTGCGGCAGTTCGAGTCACCACACTCCCTCCACGTAACACACAAAGCAAGAGAAGAAAGTAAAAAGAAATGCAAGGTAGAGACAGTAAACAGGGATACGAGACAAAAGGAACAGTAATAAAGAAGAACAATATAGTTTCATTGAGTATTATAAGTCACAAGGAGTGGATGCATCTGCGCCATTGAGAACGATTTTGAGCCATATCACCAATTGTCTCCAACCTTCATTGGTTTTTACCATCTCAAGGACTCCAATCAGTAGTCAAGAAGTCTACACCTTCCTACGTGACTAGCTTAAACTAACTGTTGTGGATTTTATTGACTGATGAAGCCATGTTTTGTTTTGACCACTACTGGCTCTTTTCCAGCCTCAACCATTCTATGTCAGCTAACATTGTCCGTCAGGCGAGGAAGGCAATGGCTAAGCATGCGTAACATATGTCCTAACCATTACAGTCGATGTAACTTCACAGCCTCATCTATTGATTTCCCCTCCCACCTACCTAGCACTCAAAGGTTGGAACTTGAAGTGGATCACTTCTGTGCATAGATCGATTTTGAAAATCCAGTTCAGTTAATTACAGCTGTATTTTGTACAATAATTCAGTTTGTTAGATCGTTGGAGGCAATCGGCAGGAAGTCCTCGATCTTGACATCGTGCCCATTACCACTTGAGATTAGAACCTGGGTCATCCAGTGCTGCAGTTAACCACTAAAGCACCTAGCATGTCAACTACACTGCAAAAGTAACCAGTAGAAGTTAGTCTGCATCGGTATTTCAATCTTTTCTCTGCAGTCCCTTATAGTTAACCCTACAAATATCTATACACTTTCATTTTCCCTCCCCCCCCACTACCGCCTCCATGTCACTGTCAGACCCTCAAATAGTCGTCCATCTGAGAATCAATTTTCTTCTACATACTTGTCTCGGGTTCTTTGCGAGAACTGCTTATCAATTTCTGACAATCTGATCTTCAATACCATGGTGAAGGAATCTGTTGATGAATATCTGCAGTAAGCTGTTGTTGGAATGCTTTTTCATAACGCACTCGCTGACTGATTTTAACACCAGTGTTTTTTTTTTCATTTTATTTTAAATTTTCTGATTATAGCTTGATTCTACACAGTATTTTTGATACAAGTATGGAATTTTCAGCATGTGATATCAGTAGACCAAATTTTGCAGGCAGACCACTGATATTAGGTGTGCGTCGGCAGGGGATCATGTGCATGGTCGGCGAGAGTCCTAACCGCTGTGCCACCGAATCTGGTTCCTTATGCTGAGTGCGATGGATTTCCAAACAGATTTCAAAGAAACGAAGTTCTGTCTTGCTCTTCTGATCCCAGTTGGTCTTGACATTCTCATCTATGCCACCTGTAATTGAAACGATGCTACACAGGTAGGCAGGCAGGCAGGTGAAATAGATGGCTTCCACAGATGGTGATTGATGTTTACTACTGTTGTAGGTTAGGGTATCTTCACCTCACCTATTCTACTAGTCGGTCCTAAATCCTGAGAAAGAGGGAGTTGGATGTGAGGCTAGCGACCCTACCCACAAAAAATCAATCCAGTTGCTACACAAACTTCAAAACATAGAGAAAATACTTTTTACACAAAAAAACATTCTTCATTCAAATCAAACTTTAAACAAGTACTTAATGAGAAGGTGGAAGTTTTTAGCTGTCTGAAACTGAATTATATCCATGAAAAATTGTCCACTTTGTGACCGATTGGAATAAATACGAAGAGGCTGGCCGTCTTTCACCATAGCTGTCTGAGTCTTATCACTCGTGTTAGGTGGTATACAATATGATCGGTAATTACCAAGTTGGGCATAGTATGTTACCTAAGGAGGAGGTGGGGGAGTTAATCGATGAGGCTGTGAAGCTACACAGATCGACATGGCTAGGATATGCGGTCTGTCTGTTTTCGACATAGAACTTCGCACCGATGTGCGGCAGTTCGATTCGCCACACTCCATGTAGCACACAAAGCCAGAGAAGAAAGTAGAAGAAATGCATAATAGAGACAGTAAACAGAGATGTGAGACAAAGGAATAGTAATACCGAAAACCATAAATTTTCATTGGAAATCATAAGTCACAAGGAGTGGATGCATCTGCACCAGCCATTGAGAACGATTTTGAGCCATGTCACCGATTGTTTCCAACCATTGGTTTTTACCGTCCCGAGGACCCCAATCAGGAAGTCTGCACCTTCCTACGTGGCTTAAACTATCCGTTGTGGATTTGATTGACTGATGAGGCCATGTTTTGGTTTGACCAATACTGGCTAATTCCAACCTCACCCAATCTATATCAGCTAACATTGCCTGTTGTCGAGGAAGGCGATGACTAGGCATACGTAACACATGTCCTAACCATCTCAGTCGATGTAGCTTCACAGGCTCGTCGATTGATTTCCCCTCCTTACCTAGCACTCAGTGCCTAACCTCAATATTGCTCACCTTATTATGCCACTTCGCACGTAAGATAGAACGCAGGCACCTATGATTGAAGACATCTAATCTTTTCATGTCTTCCGTTCTCAAAGGCCAGGTCTCACAGCCATAAAGGAGGACGGAGCGGACTAGGACATGCGGTACGCTGATATAGGAAATAGGCGAGGTCACACCAATA